TGGAAATGACAGGTAGAAGGGGAAAAGACAACAGTAAAGAATATGGAAAAAGCAGACTGATAAATGGGGATTCTTCAATCAGGAATGCCAATTCTGAGAGGTAGGAAGCTTGAGAAAGTTCTATAAAGTAAGAAAGAAGCAGTGACTAAATAAAGTACTTTTGTGGAAGACAAAGCATAAGTAATTTTTCTTTTAAAATTAGATGACTTAATAGAAGTTAATCCAGTTGTTTTTGGAACACAATGATCTCTCTGGCAAATGGGAGGCTGAGGTTACATCTGATAAAAGCTTATGGTTGAGCAACTGTAAAACACTGCTGGCCAAAATCTGAAAGGCAATTAAAGAAAGGGGAGCAGTGACAGCTTCAAATTTGGGACCTTCATAGAACTACCAAGGTTGGGAAAGACCTCCAAGATCATCCAGCCCAGCTGTTGACCTTCCACCAATATTTCCCACTAAACCATGTCCCTCAGTACAGCATGGAAATGCTTCCTGAACACCTCCAGTGATGGCAACTGCACCACCTCCCCGGGCAGCCTGTTCCAGCACCTGACCACTCTCTCAGAGTTTTTCCTTTCATGAAACCTGAACCTTGAAGCCAATCCCTCTAATCCTACTGCTGGTTACATGGGAGAAGAGGCTGACCCCCACCTTGCCACAGACTCCTTTCAGGTAGCTGTAGAGAGTAATCAATTCTCCCCTGATTCAGATTAAATAACCCAAGCTCCCTCAACCACTCCTCGTAATACTTACGCTCCTGGCCAGCTTCGCTGCCCTTCATCTGAAGATGCTCCGTGGCCTCAATGTCTTTCTTGTAGCGAGGGGCCCAAAACTGAACACAGTACTGGAGCTGAGTACAGGGGGATGATCACCTCCCTGCTCATGATGGCAACACTATTTCTGATAGAAGCCAGGATGCCACTGGCCTTCTTGGGCACACTGCTGGTTTGTGTTCAGCCAAGTGTCAACCAATACCCCCAGATCTGTTTCTTCTACAATTCCCTTTCTCTGGGAAGAAGGCTGAGAACTGCAACACTGCTTTTAGTTCTAGCAATGTTTTATTTATCACTAGTTTAGTTGATATATATGCTCTGCCACACCTTTCTTTTTTCTTTTTTTTGTATGTTCCTGAAGTCCATACAGAAATCCTGCTCCTGGATCGAGACATTTAGTTTCATGAATTACAGTTACCAGGCAGCAAAAGCCTAGTAATGGGAACCCCGAGAGCTCCCTTCCACCATGTTTTTGAGACTGAATAATAAACTCCAATCATATGTATAGAATTACTTTTGAGAATATTTTCTTTCTAAAGTACTTTATTTACATGCAGAAATCTTGAACAAAACTGAAAAGTTAATTTCTTTTCAATTAGAATTATTATCCAAATTAGTCCCTTGAGAGAAAAATTCAGATTTTTGCTTATCCAAAACACCACCCTTACTGAAGAACGTAAGAAATCTTTCGTTGTTTGCCCTGTCTCAGGATAAGAAGAAAACTGTGATGTTTTTCTGTCAAGATTTTTCTCATTAAAAAATTCCTACCCATACCAGGTAGTTATGAAATAGATTCCATTCTCTAAGGTCTTGTGCTGGGGAAGTGAGAGAAGGCTCCAACTCACAAACTACCATAAATTTCACCATCTCTCCTTCTGGAAAATAATCAGATAAGTGGGTTGTTTCTCCTTTAATTAGAATGTAAAGGGCAGAATTGAGAAACTGTGGCACATTTATCACTCCATATGCTGTTGTAAAAGCATGCCAAAAAGACTCAAGCATTTTTAAAGATAACATGTCATATATGTGTTTAGATTAAATAAATATTTTCATCCTGTTTTACATCACAACACCTATAATCACAAAAAGTGTTTTTCTCCTGTCACTTTTCACCAATATTTACTTCAACATTTAAAAGATAATTTGAGCTTTCTCCTCCATCCAGAGGCAACTGTGTCTCAGAAATATGTAAGTTTTTAAATTAATGGCCTAATGATTGTAATCAGTCTCTCTGGACAGTCATTTTTTAAACTTTCAATGTTTTCCAGTAACTCGTCTGGCTTAAGATCCTTTCAAAAGCCATTTCTACAAATACAAGATATCTGTTTAGACATAGCTGTCATTTTTTAAAAATTTATTTCTTTTAAGCATAGGAAGAGGAAATTTAATAGTCTGGTTTTTATTGAAGAGCTCTGACTCTGTCCACTATCTATGCTATCAACAGGGTGGAGGCATTCTGGAGAGAGCAGGAAGGTGGTGGAAAGGAGAAGAGAGTGAGTGTAGAAGAAAGCAAATATGATCCTGTCACTACAGACGGCATTCCAAAGTATACACAACAGGGAGCTCAATTGAGACCTTAAATCCCCTGTGTTAAGCGCTATGTTTTCTGTGTTCAAAGAGCAGAACTAGATGCTGACATCCTCATTGGTTCTGCATAAAGGACATACACAAAAGAAAGAGTAGCAGCACTTAGGAAGCAAAATACTCATTCTGCATCTTCGCATAGGCCTGTCTCCAAGCATGCTTCAGAATATAGAAACATAGAATCAAAATCATAGAATCACTTGAATGGAAAGGGATATTTAAAGGTCAGCTGGTCCAACTCCTCTGCTCTGCAATAAACAGGGACAATCTCTGAGGATGGGGCATCCACCAAAAAACTTTTTCTTTATATCTAGTCTAAATCTTCCCTCACTTGGTTGGAGACCATTTCCCCTTATGCTATCACAACAGACTCTGCTAAAAAATCTGTCCCTTTCTTCCTTACAGCCTCCATCTAGATACTGAAAGACCACTCTCAGGTCTAACCAGAGCCTTCACTTCTGCAGGCTGAACAGCCCTATCTCAGCCTATCCTCATAGGAGAGCTGTTCCATCACTTGGATCATTTTTGTGGCCCTCCTCTGGATGCACTCCAACAGCTCCATGTCTCTCCCATGCTGAGGACTCCACATCTGGATGCAGTGCTCCAGGTGAGGTCTGACAGTGCAGAGAAGAGGGGCAGGATCACCTCCCTGACCTGCTGACCACGCTGCTTTTGATGCAGCCCAGGATACGGTTGGCTTTCTGGGCTGTGAGAGCACACTGCTGGCTCACATCCAGCTCACCACTCACCACCACCCTCAAGTCTTTTTGGCAGGGCTGTTTTCAACTCTTTTGTCCTCCAGCTTGTACTGATAGCAGGGGTTTCAGGGATGCAAGACTTTGGCATACAAAATTGTTGTTATTTACACCACAGTAGTTTGCTTTGCTTTAATTTTTGACATAATTTTGTACCTATGTAATTTAAATTGTAATTTTAATTGAGATTAAATTGTATTATGTATTCTAGCGTTCTAAATATCCTTAAATCCAAATACACGCTTTTTCCTTGTACACCTAAAACCTTCACAAAAGTCAGTTTGTAATGCTTTCTTTCAAAGCTGCACGTGGTTCCCTCAAATTGAAAAAAGGGATTTGTCTTAAGATAACAGTTGTGAAAAATTCTGCAAAACTTGTACAAACATCACAGTCTTACATCTGACTCAGTCTTCAGAATCAAATTTTTCAACTGCCAATCACACAACTTATCAGATAAAACTAAGAGCATCGTTTCTATCCTATTTCATCCAGGCAAAAGGCTGCCATTAAGCTTTCCATTGCATACCCCAATAGAGCAGTTTGGGAAAAAAAAAAAAAAAAAAAAAAGATTCTAGATTTACTTCTTGTGCCTGTAAATGGGAGCTAAGCGACTGCAGATGAGCTGCAGATAGAAGATTATTCAGATCACAGAACTGATGAATACTGCATATATACTACGGAAAAGATATTTCAGACAAATCATTACTGTGGCAAAGTCAGGTTTGTGATCCAGGCTCCAAGTAACAATTTTCCTAATTTCAGAACAAAAGTCATTAAGCAGGACTGCAGTTTACAAAGCTCAGCTTATTTTGTTTTACTGGAGTTTGCAAAGCTCTGAGCCACCAAAAAAAACAACCAAACAGGGAAAAAAAAAAAAAAAAAAAATCTCAGCAATACTCAATTATAGAATTTTGATGTTAAAAAGTAATTTTAAGATCATAGAATCATTAAGGTTGGAAAAGACCTCTAAGATCATCCAGCCCCACTGTCCACCTACCACCAATATTGCCCATGAACAGATAAGCAGGTAACCAGAGAAGATGAATATTTTAACTACTGTGATATGAATTTCTGGAAGAGGTCATGCAGCCCTATGATTCTCTGTATTTCTCCAGCATTTTCAAAAACACTGTGGGTACACTTCAGATTTCTTCACTCTTACAGATTTGAAGACATGCTCAAAGTTAACACACCACTTTGTTATTTCTATGCTACTCATGGGAACTGTGGAGTATTTCTGACTCTGGTTTAGCCTTTTGCCTGGGTACCTCAGCACTGTGACTGAGTGCTGGCCTCAAGTTGGCAGGAGCTGTGAAGGGGCAGACTGCACCACACTAAGCCTAAGATAACAAGCTTCTCCAAAGGAAGGTGAATAACTGTCTTGTCTTCTACCAATCCAGAGGCAATACCACAGCTACTGAGACAGTATCTCTTAAGCTTTGTGGTAAAATGTGCCAGTGTGATTTGGCTCAATGAAAAAAAATATTTAAACCCTCTATTTAACACTTCGACTGAAGTATACTGCTACCTGGACAGTCTAAGTTACATTCCTGAGCAGAGATGAGCCCTCCAGGAATAGCCTTTGTAAAAGTGTCCCTCTTGTAAAGCATGCATGTTTTCCTCATTCATGGCAGGAGGATTTCAGTTTGCGTGCTCAGATATAGAGAAAAGCACTTCATTAGTTAATCACAGAGCAGATCTACTCCATCTAATGGCCATACTATTTTTTTTCACTCTTGCTAAGAAGTGGATTGCCTCTTGATACAGTATCTTAGCATCACCTGCATGGTTCCTGCTCAAGGTGCTAGTAGTGCACAAGCACATCTTTAAATATTAGATCCAGAAGAACAAAAAGGCTAGCCATCAGTTGACACAAGAAATAATGAAGACCCAACAGAACTAGCTTCAAGCTTGTTTGGAAGCATCTTGCAGTTTTCTCATCATGAATCAAGGAAGATTCATAATCAGTATGAGGTTTTTCTTGGTACGTCTTAGTGATAAGAGACGTCTTTATAAATACTAACATGAAATTGTAAAAACAATTTGTTATACATCATGCTATATTAGCTGCAGCAAGATGTTTATTCTTCTCCTTTACACACACATCCTCTTCTCTCAAAATATATTTAGTTACAGGAAAAACAAGTACATACTGTAAGACTGCTTGAAAAAGCCCTGAAGTTCAGCGATATGACAAACAAAACTTTTCCAAATATTTTGATAATAAATTATTAGATATTATTTCCAATCTAATGTCAGAATGAAGCAGTGGTTTTTAAGATACTCTGCTAAGGAGATTAATTTTAAAATTAAAGATCCACTACCTCGTTAGACCCATTTACTCTCTTACAGAGCACCAGAAAGATCTGTCTTTTCCTCCTCTTGATGAGTCACTGCTTACGACACAGACATTGTGCAGACTTGATGTCTTTATGAAGATTAAATAGTCCCATAAATGCAATTAGACTGAATATGTACTTGCTGATTTGTAATTGCATTCGGAATAAACTTTACATTAACAGAAAAATTAGAGTAAAAAAAATTATCTGCCATATTATGTCTGTCCAGTTCATTTCCCTACAGCAGTGGGCAGAGATTCTAAAGAGAACACTCTCCTGATTTCTGCAGTAATCGATTTATGCCTCAGAGCAAAAAGCAGTAGCACACAGCCAGGTATTTAAGAATATCTCTGAAAATACTGGAATATTTGAGTCATATCTACTGATTCAAATGTATCTCACTGGCTTCATTTTTTCAGTGCCTCTGAACAGCCCAGTAAACAGCAAAAAAGAGCTGAACAGGAAGAGATTCAGTAAGAGCAAACCAAGCTCCTGTCTATTGTTTTTTAAATGAAAAAGGAACATGTTAATAGAAGTGCTGAATTTGGGGTACTAATCTACAGCACATGCAGGTTAAGCAAGGATAGGCAGCCCACCCAGCCCTCCACCAGTTTTTTTTCTGATAAATTGATCTTAAATATCCAGACCAAGATTTCTTTTTGCTATATAGTACTATTTCTTATGCCTCAAAGAAATAACAATATTATTACGCTGAACTCATTTTCTTTGAGAAAACATGGTAAAAGAGATTAACTATTCACAGTCAAGATGATTTCCTTTTCCTCTACATTTTGACCTGATTATATCCACCACTTGAGCAGGAAAATATACTGATTTCTTTAGACTCCCCTTTATTGAAAAGCTATCAAGAAAGCTCTAACTTGACTGTTCTGCAGCATGCTACACATTGCTACAGAACTGCAGATGCTTACAACCACACCGCTTGTACAGATCAGTTATCCAGCCAAAAGACAATATTTCAGTTCTTTAAACCAGGGGATTCAATGCTAAAAACATTAAAAATCTTTAGTTTTGTTTTCTATTTTTAATCATACAGAAATATTGAGTGCTAATTATGCCCAGCACGCTGTGATTTAAAGTCAAACTGTTAATTACAAGCATTCCTCAGGAACTCTACAGTACATCTTAATTCTTCAACACCAAAATGCACATACAAGCAGTAAAGAACAAAATACTTTGCAAATTAAGAAGATTCCAGCTATTTTGCATAGAGAAAAATATTCAATGTCTTCGCATATCTATGTTTACTATTACTGGAAACTACATGTAAAAAGTACATGTGAGACCTACACTGCAGGTCAGTAAAATGGCAGCAGGCAGACAGCTTGCTCAAGAACATGCAAGAGCTCAGAAGAGAAGAGAATTTGGTGCCTTCAGCAAACGCGGTGCCTTGCCTGTCAGTGGCCCTGCAGACAAAACGAGAAGAGAGCAGTCACCTGGAAACAGATACAAGTAAAGCATCCTAAGATACCTGGTTTGCCTTGACAGTGACACTCAAAGAAAAGCCATAGGAGAGGCCTTGAGGATTGTTTAGGGAAAGTTTTCATTAGATATGTTCAGGAATTTACCAAAATGAACTCAATCAGCTGACCACGACAATTGATTAGAATGTCAAGAAGTCTAGTTTCAGTTTTTTTCTGTCACTATCCCATAACCCAGGTTAGAGAACTAGCCTATGGTCTGAGCCTGCCCCATGGCCGGCTCCTCCACAAAACACAGCTTCTGCATCACATCATATCCATGATTCAGAGCAAAACTTCCTCAGCAATGGGGTTCAAGTACCTGGAATTTTTGCAATATAAATATTTATGTGTAACTATGCAATTTCTCAAAGGGAAAGCTTTATGTTAATCTAATCTCAAAACCAGAGAAGTTCCTACAGCCATTGAGGACAGTGGCAGAGCACATTCTGGAGAGAATGTAGGTCTCGATGTTGTAGATTATTTACTGGACTGATATTTTCTTGCTCTTCTTGTAAGTGTTTTAAAACCTTACTATCACCCAGATGAACTGATTTTTTTCCCCTGAAATTTTGTAGAATAAGAGTGTTTTTGCAACCCACTTTTGATATGTCATCTTTGTGATTACATAAATACAAGAGTTTTGTGAGCTCATATCCATACAGGATAACAAGAAAGTCAGAACCCAGAAGGCAATAGACAATGTTAAATAAGAATTAAAGATATTCTTGAGCACACCAGAACACAACTAGTCATGTTGTACTAACAAATTATCTTAAATCATAATGCCTGAGAATCTTTGGATCTAAGTCAAGTTTCTTTCCACACAGAAATTATAACAGTGTTTGCTGGTTTGATTTGACAGATACCAATTTCATATTTCACTCAGCAAATGGACCTTCGTTTTCTTTAGTACATTCCACTCTTCAGGAAAGAAACTGTAGTATTTATCTAGAATTTGTACCACCTGTGCAAAATAAATCACTTTTTTGTTAATTTTTCTGCTTAAAGAAAAAGGGAACTTAATGTGCATCTTCAAACATTTTTACATTTGTATCTCTTTCATTATAATATAAACATCCCTAGAGTTTGTTTAAACACCTTATAATTGAAATTCATTGCGCAGTGTCTTTATGGACTTTTGCTTGGGTTCTACAAAGCAAGCAGAGTTCTGCTGTAGACATTCACTCCAAACAAGTTACAAGCAGTTGAATATCCCCTGGATACCAAAAGATTTATTATTTCTTATTGATTTGTGCAGACTGGGATACAGGTTTGCAGACCTGTATGAGAACACACAAAACAAAACTCCTGCAGATCATAGGAGTGCAAATTACTTGAAACATTTCAAGATCACTTTTTTCTGTTTTGCCTTATAGTACTCATCTGTTCACAGCATATCTGGAAAAATAATGAATGCAGTGCATGATGGAAAATGCGTTAACTCTAGCATGCAAGATATTTTTAATGTTTATCATCTGACACATCAAATGAAATAAAATGCATTCCATGCAACAACAGTAAAGAGGCACAACTGACAAATAAACAAGGAGGCAGAAAAAAAGGATCGGAGTTGCAAGGATGTGTTTGTGGGTTTTCATGCTTCTTGCTACTTGGATGAACTTATTAGGCCAAGAATCTGTGTGTTGGTACAGTATTTATTACTGTTTGAACCTTATATGTGAAGGCAAGCATAAGGCAAATTTTTTATTTTCTGGATATAGTGACATTTGTCCTATTAGGAGTAAGTTAAATGCTAATAACTTACATTAATATTTTTCATGAATTATTCAGCAAAATAATTAAAATTCATAGTAAGTTCTAAGTTTCATAGCGAAAGTGATTTTCTAAATTGTATTTTTAAATGAAGTTTAAAATAGAGAGCAAAATTTTATTCTAAGTAGCAGAAGGTAAGAGAGCCAATGGATGGTTGTCCAGTTGGGGAAAAACAAGACATAAAGAGCAATGAAAGAAAAACAGAGACAGAAAAAAAAAGTGGTCCTCTAACGAACAGGATTTTGCATTCCTATTATCCAAAGTACTTTGCCCTCAACACTCATAAATGGTCTAGAGAATCAAAATAAATCAATTTTAGCATTAATGTGTTATTCCACTACTGGAGGAACTTGTACATGTGTTATAGATGGCACAGCTTTTCAGCTCTGGTTATTATTGAAGTTCTACTTTTTCCACTTATAAAATGATAGAATATAAAAGGATACAAATTCTATGTCCCAAACTGGAAATTAAAAAGAAAAAAAATAAAAGCCTTGTCTGCTCCCTGAAGAATTGGTCATACATTGTTTCTCATCTTAAATATACTGTACTTCCATAATTCTTAGCACAGACTTTCAACATAAGTTGATTCCAGTAACTGCAAACTGTACTATGGCATTTACATTACAATTTAGATGCAGCATAAAACTAAATAATATCATTTTTCATTCATTTGAGATGCCTGCTTTTCTACTTCTTACCTGAAGACCTGGCTTCATGTTACTTTCAAATAAGAGCCCTTTCAGTCCTTTGCCTTCTGGCTCCATCAAGGTTCATTCACAGCGGACGCGTTCTGTCAAGTTGCACGTAAGCAAGGATAAAGGTCCACCTTTCTTGGTTTGCTGCACAAGACTGGCAGATGTGCAACTCTCTTCCATTTGCCAGCAAGGCCTACTACTCATAAGCACTTTGAGATCACCTTTCAACAAGGACTTGTTTACTCAGTCCTTCAAAGAGCATGAATATAAAAGCTAGAAGTGATCACTTTACTCTTCCCTTGAATTTCAAGGCATGGCCTCTTGACAGATAAATTGAAAGGCTAAGTGCAACTTACTGGGAAAGAAAACAGACTTTTTCTAATTCTCCATAGAAATTCTCTTGCCAGGATGTTAATATTAAAATATATGGTGCATACAGTGGCTTCACTGAGTCACATGCACTGCCACTGCCATAACCTCAGCTGCTTGGCAAACTCAGCAGTGAGGTCAGACAAATTTCGTGATTCCACACTTTTGCCAAGAAAATCACATAAGGGCAAAGATCAAATGGAAGCAGCAGCATTTATAGATGGACTGTCTGAGTCTCCACATTCACAACTGAAAAGCAATCTTTCTTGTTTTTAATATGTTGCATTTAAGGATTCTACATAACCTGGAAGTTCTTCTGGTCGGTATGTGTTGCTATGGGAACAGAGTTTATTTCACTTACACAGCTTTCACAGCACTCTTAAATAGAGGAATTGAGTAGATGCACAATCAACAACTGCAAAACTGATTACTCTTTTCAAGTTCATGTTGAGCAGACCAAGTTTTAGCAGAAGTGAATCAGTGAGACACTTGGCACCTGAAGGTAAAAATCAAATCTGAAATCAATCCTTACTGTCTGAATACACCTTCGCCGGGCATCTCAAATGATATCTTTAAATAAGTTACATAACACTCACTGGATATTGAAATCTCCTTGCTACCCAGTATACTAACATTTCTGAAGTGATTTCTCACTGAAAAAGAATTTTACAGGACAAGATTTTATTTTGCATTTGAAAACCATGGGATTTTAGTAACGAAGCCTGATAAGCATGAGAAGAAATTCTGTCTTTTTTTTTTTTGTCACTTAAGGCAGTGTGAAATGAAAGCATACATTTAAATCATGAGGATGCCTTGCAATACAGGCATAGCAGCAAAAAAAAAAAAAAAACCTACCAACAACCCATACCAAACCCACAGCCATAAAGTCACTTCCATATGTGTTACCATGAAAAACAATCTTAGTAAAAAGAAAGTTTTAATGAAGTTATTTTTAATGAAGTTATACAATCTGCTTCTGGATAAATCAAAAACAAATTCAATTCAGGAAAACATCAGATTATGAATCTGAAGGTTTTTGTTTAAAAAGGTATAAGTCTGTCTGTATGCAAGGTAGACCAAGAGAAAATGCATTTCTCACAATTACTTAATGTTCTATATATCTGATCACCACCAATTTTCTTTTAAAATTAAATGAGGAAAGGAAACTTTAGAAGGAGAGCCATTTTAATTATTAAATCACGTGCGGTAACAAGGCTTACATGGATTGACCACAAGGAAAATGGCTAAAAATCATAATTCTGTTGTAGCTAACAACAGCGAAAAGCAGCTTCAGGAAGCCACTGTATCTGATATTGTTCAAATACAATAGATACCAGGGGGCAGGGGAGAGAACTGCCCTCATTGCTGTAATTTTCTGGCCACAGAGTGATTTGGAGTTCTATGGAAAATTTCACAATAGATGAGTAACTCAGCCTATGGAGTTTTTTTATGTGAAAGACATAGATTTTTTTTTCATGAACAAAACCTGTGAAGTTGAGACTAAAACCTGCGACTGAAAAAGCCCAACTCACAAGTAAAGCTGTGTTTCCATAGCATAATACACTGTGACCATAACTACTAGGCTGCCCTCACACTTCTGAAAGAATCTATGTTCTCAGCTGTGTATTTAGATTATACTGTGGTATATTTTTGTTATATTTTCAGATCTGAGTATTTGTGTAGTGCATTCATATACGCAGGAGCAGCTCACTAGGAAGCTTATATGAAATGGTTCTGTATTGTCATTCACGAGCTCAATTCTTGACAACCATCCTTAAGGAAGGCATGAGAAATCTCAGGAATATTCCAGCTGGACTTCACGTCTCACCTTTCTGAAAGGTTTCCATGGCTGCTAGAAACAAGAGTGTAAAACTGTGTTTAAAAAGAGAATGTGGAGAAGAGCCAAGTATTGCTTTGCTGTCTACAGCTGCAACTCTGTGTTTCTTTTGCTTTCCCTCCTGCATTAGCACACTGGGCAGTGAGGATGGGGCCAAGAAAGTGCCTGACAGACAGAGAAGTGATGCTGCTTGCAGGGGAATGTCAGTTTGCTATCGGCTGTTAAATTCTGAGGAGAAAAAGAGAAGTTTGCAATGAAGCAGAAAGATGAAGGGGTGGGTCAGGGTGCACTGAAAGAAGAGAATAAGAGAGAATGAGGAAAAAAATGAAAAAGACAGTATTGAAATAAAACACCAGCAAACTCATGAAATGAAAAGTACCCCAAGAAAGATACATGCATGAAAAATTCTGTATGCTTGATTAAATTAGAGATGGACATTCCTCTGAATAAGTTTCAGACAGGAATAATGTTTGTCTGAATCCAAATTTAATCTTTGCTACCTGCAGAATACACAATACCTGAATTTTCAATGCTTAAATACAAACTGAATCTGTGACTGTATTTTAAATTATAGCTATGCCACAGATACTCAAGATGCTCTGTGGCATTTGACTAATTCTCTTTTATTTCAGCAAAAACAGTATTCTGTTCAATGCATTGCTTTAATATACTTCATTCTAGAGCTGCATTGAGGATAGGACTGACTTGAGAAGGAGCTATTGCTCGCAGTATTACCAAAATAAGCTGATTATGGTAATTTTCTAGCAGCTTAGGTTTTTTACTGTATGTTCATAGGGTATATCACAGGCAAAAGTTTGTTTTGCATAACCAGAAGCCATGTAAACATCAGCTCTTACTCTCCACTCCACAGCTTGTTATTACAGGCATAACAAACTCATGGAATTGATAGCTCACATCTGCTCAGAGGAGACCTCAGCAGAAGATTTCCCAGCACAGTAAGGAGCCTTCTGCTGGAGACCACTCTAATATACTTCCCTCCATTTGTTCTGTCATATTTTGGTATTCTGCAGTTCTGTTTTTCCCCAGTGCTCTTTGTAAATGAAAAATCATTTGCTTTGTGATCCATTTTTGTCTGAGAGCTATGCACATCATCATGTTAAAAAAAAAAAATCGCTCAGTGCCAAGCTGAGATGCATCCTTCATTGACAATTAACTTTTGTTATTTGATTATTTAAAGTACATTCTATTTGTTTGAAAACTAAATCTCTGCAGGGCACAAAGGTCTTTAAAACCTAACTCTAAAAGATATTCATAAACATCAATGCTTTTGCCTTTAATGAAGGAATATATTTATAAATGTATATATACATTTAAATTAAATTTAAATTTAATTTATTTAAAAAATACATTTAATGAAGGAATATATTTATAAATGTATATATATAGTTCCCAAAATGTCAATAGAAACACTTGACATTGATTCTAGCTCTGGAGTGGAGCAGTCTTAAGGAAGCAAGATCTGAGCCAGCTAAATTGGCTTGAATTCTTCACAAATTTGGCTTGAAGTGGGTGAACTACTCAGTCAATGCAGTATTTTGGGAAACTGCATTTTATTCTGAAAACTTGTTTTAAGTGATGGCATTTCTGTTCTCTTGGAAGACAGCAGCAAGACAGACCTGAGCACTAAGCCTCCTACACAGCCAGAGACCAGCAACAGGAGGCACAGTAGCTATACTAACTTCTGTGCTTTTGCTGGTATTACCAGTCATCTGGAAAACAAGGGTTAACAGCAGCTTGCTATAGGAAGGACTCAAAGCTACATATCAAAGATCTCAGGCCCATGTGTGCATAGGATTCACACAGTATTAATGAAGTGCCATACATTTGATTTCCTTTGTAAAGACTTGTCAGAGCTGTACAACTCTGCCCAAGCCTACAGAAGCAGCCTCAGTTTCCTTAAAGATCAGCACACATCTAATTCCTGACAGCACAGAGTGAACCTTTCAAGAGTTGCTGCCACATGTCTTTTAAGCTTTAAAAAAGTCAACCCATATCCTTAGGAGAACTTACAGATTCCATTATGAAGGACAAAGGCATGATTTTTTCCTGCTTACAACAGTTTGTTATTCTCATCTACTATAAAGACATAAAATAAACAGTCCAGGAATCATCTGAATTTTGACTGTGCTTTAAGACATTGCTAATTAGAGCCTAAGAAAGGCACTAAAAATACCCAGACATGCAGCTGACACCTTCTCGATTCAATTTGAGAACCTTCTGTGCCAACTTAGCAGCAGTGACTAACAGAACCGCTTTTAATGTCTGCTTTTCCACGAACAGTCATGTACAAGAACTACTTTTGTTCCAGCAAGAGATGGATAATTAGGATGAGTAACATTTTTCTCCTCTCCTGAAAACAAATAATTGCTTCAGTCATTAAGGAGTTCAGCAAATAGAGCAGTTTATCCAAAACTAAAAAATTTCTAAAAAGCAATAATTTCTCATCTATATTCAAGTTTCTTCATTGCAAATGATTTTTTATTTATTTAAATAAAAAGCATTCCTGCTTTCATGGAAAGATGTGTCTTTCGGGTTTGACAAACAAGTCCAAGAAATAAATTTTAAAAGTACAGAAAACTTTGAGAACACCACGAGGTCAAGAGGAATAGAAATTTTTGTTCTGTGCATCATACAACAGTTCAAATCATTACATCAGATTAAACTGAGATGAAATCACAAGATTCGCAAGGTCTTCCCATGGAAAACAGCATGAGAGGTGGCCCCATGTGAACCTCATCAAGTTCAGATAGGCTAAGTGCAAGCTCTTGAACATGGGTTGAGGCAATCTCAAATATGAACACAGGCTCAGCAAAAAGTAGATATAGAGGGCCCTGTGGAGAAGGACTCGTGGGTATTAGTGGGTGAAAAGCTCAACTTCAGTCTGCAGTGTGTGCTTGCAGCACAGAAAACAAGACACATCCTGGGCTGCATCAAAATTAGCATGGCCAGGAAGGTGAGGGAAGCGACTTTCCCTCTCTGCTCAGATCCCACACTCAGCTTTGGGGTCCCCCAGCACAGCAAGGACATGGACCTGTTTAATAGGTCCAGAGGAGGCCACAGGGACAATCAGAAAAGGCTGCCTCCTGGGAAGAAAGACTGAGTAGAGGTGGCACTGCTCATCCTGGAGAAAAGGCAGCTCTGGGACACCTGACTGTGGCATTTCATCACCTGGATGGGCTACGAGAAAATGGAGAGGGACACTTTCAAGGGGAGTAGTGATAAGGCGAGAGTTTAAACTTAGAGTGCAGATTTAGATTACATATAAGAAACTCCTTAATCAGAGGGTGATGAGGCACTGGCGTAGTATGCCTAGAAAAGCTGTAAGTGCCCCATCCCTGGGGATGCTCAGGGCCAGATTGGATGGGGCCTTTGGCAACCTAATGTAGTGTGTGACAACCCTGGACTAGAATTCAAAAAGGATAAAACACTTCAGACTATGAAGAACAAAAGCATTCTCCTGATTAAGGCTGAACTTTTCGTGAAAAAATTAAATAAGTTGCCCTAAAGGGTCCTTGAAGGTCACTGATTGTGTGTCAGTCACTTTCTACACCACACCTTCACTCATCCCATTATGCACTCCTGTCACCTTGTTCTCCACCATGTTTACTTTGGGACCTGAAGGGTTTTAACTGGCTGGCCAGGTAAAGGAAAGCAGCAGTAAACTAGTAAACTACTTGTTTAGTAATAAAGCTGCAAAAAGGATTGTGGGAGATAAGCTGGTCGTGATTTTACGCAGCCCACACAAGCATTACCTTAAAATATCACTGCAGTGTATTTTTCAGCATCATCAGTTGTTTATTCAGCTTAATGATCTTTCCTTTTTTTTTTTTCTTTTGTACAGAATTTCAGTGCTGCTTAAGAAATAGAGATTATGAAAATAGATGACTTAGAGCAGCTACAATTATTAGGCTAATAAATAACCTACTGCATTGAAGGTAGAAGTGCCTTCAACAGATTCAAAACACTAGCATGCTGCTAATATTTATGTAGTTAAAAAAACACTTGACGTTGATGTAAAATGAAGTTTCTCCATCACACGCTGTATCTACAAATTACAAATTCTCACACTCAAAAACTGTTATGTAAAGAAAAGTGGCTGAATTAGTCCAACCTTTATCAACTCAGATTCACAGATGCTAAGGAAATACTGCAGAACGCACAGTGGACATTCAGAACCTCACCTCATTACACCCTCAGACCAATATATGTGGCCATTATGCATATACCAGGAAACCAAGTCCTTAATAAACATCATGGTTTATTATGAAATATACTCTTTCAATTAGAATTACTGACAAAACAGATTAGAAATAAAGATGACTGGGAAGCATCCTATTATTGTTAATGTCCCTGGAAGCACTGTTACCACTGTAATTGGTACTGATGTCACTTCCCAGGCGGTGTTTCATTATTTACTTTACTACTGCCAACAAGTCACCAGCTGGTATTACTCTAGCTTTGCATCACTGATAATACAGCTAGAGCTCTGTTACCTTTCCAGAGCCAGGGTGGTTAATAATTAAAGAGTGCTTAGATAGGAAACAATGAACTTGGGATAATCTATGGCTCCTCATTGTTCCATATAATAATGGCACAAGGGAACACCTTGGCTTGTTACTGCCTACTGACTCCACAGAAGAGAAAAAGATATAAAAAATGAAATGTCTGTTGACTTTCCCTATTGCTCTTATCCAACTACAGAAAATAAAGAAACTTCCCTTAAATTTATCAAGTGGGATGGTGACTTAAAGCATTCAGTGAAGAAGTGAGTGCTATTGATTTTTTTGTACAAAACAGTGGCTCCCAGCTACCACAGAATATTAGCTAGTAATAAGCAATATTTGGTCTTATATGGAAGTCAGTTCCTCCAAGATTAAATATTGCTGTGTAATTACATGGTTTGGAGAGAAACTACCTGTAATCTACCTGCAATACACCACCTGCAGGAAAAGAACAGAGTTTTTGTCTCATGATGTTTCACTGTGTTCCATAAGAGTGAGTGCTGATGTGCAAAATAAAGTTCTCCTTACGTTGCCAGTCTGGTACTGAACTTCCTGACTAGAATAGGCAAGACAACAGAACTGGAGTTAGAAGAAGTGCCAACATCTCAATTCTTAAGTAGTTTTTGGAAGTAATTTTTGGTTTTCATTATCCTCACTGTTATCATTGCCTGGAAGCAATCAACTTATTTATTTTAAATATTCTTCATAATTCTCTCCCATTTAGGTGATGCTGATGACTAAGCTGGTTTTAGTAACAGGTCTGAAAGAGACACCAAGAAATTCTGAGCTACACCTCTGTCACTGTTTGAAGAAAAATCCCTTGGATAGTGGTGAGTCAGAGGGTCACAAATAAGCCTGTAGAGAGGAATGCTGTAACACGATGCAAAACACAACAGAGCAGCAAGGTCCCAGGCCACAGTAAGTGAGGATCTACTCACACGTGACAGCTCAGAAATAAAATTAACAACCTGCTTACCTCTAAAAGGCCTGTAAGGACCTTAGCCAGGCATGGATCTCTAAACAAGATGCTCTTGTTTCCACTGCCAACTCTTAAATGAGGTCTGGGAGGGGGTGGATCCTGGCTACACCCCTTCTGATCTCTCAGGTACATTGTGTACACCTGAGCTCCCTGGGTTGGCCTCACCTTCCCACCAGATGCTCAATCACTGGTTCTAGCTGTGACTTGCATTTCCACTATAAAGGGAAAGCTTTACTCAATGTATATCAACAAATGGCACAGGTTCCCTAAATGCTTATAGGTAGCATTACATCCTAAGCTCTTCAAATCTAAGGAAAAAAGATTTGTGGTCCTCTCCCACTCTCTTGCTGGTAAAACAAACAAACAAACAAACAAAAACAGTTAAAATTACAGGAGGAAATTACAAGGAGGCAGCTCTAACTTGAGAGAGGAGTAGAGGGCATCTGGTGGTGTTTGTTGTTGTTAATGTATACCAACAGCAAGGCAATTCAGACCTACGTGCAGCTTCACCAGCAAGAATTAATATATTCCATGCTTCTCAACAAGCAAACAAAAATGTAACAAACGGAGAAATTAAAATAATGTAAGCACAGAAGCACAAATAGTTCTAGAAGAAATAAGATGATACAACTTTCTATTGCCAGATGCTGACACTATGAAAATTGCTGTTAATACTGTTATAGTGGTTAAAGATACAAGTGGTACAAATGCTCACAGGAAGTTGCCATCTCCAAGAGGTACATACTATGGAAAAGTAGGACAGGTCCCCCCCCTCTATCATAAGATACACAATATTGTTTGCTCGAGGAGTATCACAGAATCACCGTGTTGTGGGGCTTGAAAGAACTTCTGGAGATCATCCAGTCCAGACATCCTGTCAAAGCAGACTGTATGCAGTTGGTTGCACAGGGAAGCATCCAGACAGGTTTTTAATATCCGCAGAGAAGGTAACTCCACAACATCTGGGCAGCTTGTTCTACTGCTCTGTAACCCTCAAAGTAAAGAATTTTTTCCTTCTGTTGGTATGGAACTTTTGTATGTTCCAGTTTGTGCCTGCTGCTGGGCACCATGCAGAGAGCGTGGTCCTACCATATTGACACCCATCCTTTAGATATTTAACAGCTTTCATAAGGTCCATGGAGATGAGATCAGAAAATGAACAGAAAGTCTTTTCTTAGTAAGCAGGACCATTGCAGGTGAGGTACATTAATTTCAAAGCAGCATTTCTGGCACTGTAGAGAAGATGATTTGATGAATCCAGTTCCAAGCTATCAGATCAACTCGTGAATTGATAGGACATATTCAGAACGAAGTTCATGAGAACAGTTAATTTTAAATTAGCAATGAGGATTCTGGCATTAAGATAAGACTGTGAAGAACTAACACTGAAACATTCTACAGTGTTGGGCTTAGCATATGTGTTGAACAGCATATACCACTTGGAATTCACACACTGAACAGAGCCAACATCTGTGAGACTCCTTTACTCTAAGGAACTGGGGAACACAATGGTACAATAGAAATGAAAGCCTACACTTAGAAATAAGATCTCTAGTCATATGGGGGCTATACGCATTTTATTGCCAGTGGCCAAAGCTGAAAAAAAGCTCAGACGTTGTTGTACCTTCTCATGAGAAATGAACTGCAGTATCAGAACTTGCTTGACTGAAAGAAAAAGGAATAAAAGCAAAAGACAAATGTGTTATGATATGTTGTATCCTTCCTTACCCAGCTTCAATGCATGGAATCAATCACAGACAAGATTTTAAGTGAGAAAACATTAGAAAAAAAACCAGTACGCGTATCTTTCAAACTAGCACTGCCAGCAAGAGAAGAAACTGTCTCTCATTTCCACCAGCACAAACATGTGGTAAAGCACAACATTGGTGACCTGGTTAAAACTCATTTTTTAAAAAAGCTGGTTTTAACCCACATCAATTTTCCAGTCTGTTCTGATATGCAGCCACGCAAACACCTACACTGGTAAAAGTGGGTAGAAGAAAACTGCTCCCTCTGACAGCAGGGCTGGCTGAAAGTGTAAATGAAACTTAAGACCTTCTGGTGTTTGCAGATTTTCTTACCAGAGTTAGCAAAGTAAAAGTTAAATTGAAAACAGATTAGAGGCCAAGTTCAAAGTTGGTATGAGACACAAAACAACTTCGCAAATTTTAGAGAAATTCATCATAGACTGTCAAAAATCTGTTCCAAGTCACAAGCTATTAGTCTTAAAACTAAATGTACTGCTAATGGTGAGCTGTTGTGTTCTGCTCTCTTCTGATCCTTTTTTAAACAAAATCACTGATGGAGAATTACGGATCTTTTTCAGAGTTTACAGGTAGCTGTAAGGAATGTGAGCAGAGATTAGAAAATAAGACTGGCCAATAAATGAATGTCAATATTTGAATGCTTTTTCTATAAGTATTCTGAGAGCTTTTGGAAGAACTGTTTGAGCAACTAATACCACTTTTCTCTGTTAGCTTATTTAAATTCTTAATTAAACTGTTTACTAATCAGCCAGGAGATACCACTTATAACAGCATGCAACAGACACAGTCCCATGGTTTCAGAATGACTCTTCTTAGATTCAGAAAATATACAGGAAAATGGAGCATTTAGTGCCTTTATTCCCAGTGATGCCTAACAATTTGCCAAATTGCTACAGCTAGTTGTCATGGTTCTATCTGTGTAAAGCCTGTACTTAATTGGATGAATTATCACCTGATATAATTTTCACCCCAATGTTTTAGACAGGATGACATGTATCAAATAGCCTGCCTAAAATATTTCTTTGTATGCCCCATAAGTGATGTTCCAGGTCCTCTTCCCAAAATAACACAATTTCTACTAACTGAAGTAGTAGGAAAGACTTCCAAATGCAAACTCAGGAAAAATGACTGCTCTTTATTGTTTGCCTTGAAGTAATTTAGTCATAAACAGTAACTGATAGCCTTGAATTTCTTACCAAGGAAAGAACAAGGTCTGTGATCTGCCTTACAAGAATTTAGATGGAAGGACACCTGTGGGTTCTGAATCAGAGTCTGAGTTGAAATGCTTCCAAACCCCACCCACAGTGGGACCTTGTTGATATACTCCTTTGTGACCTTAAAAATCAGAGTAGTGAAAATTCAGTCAGTAGAAACCTAATCATTTCCAGTGTAAATGCACGTTCCTTTAGCAAACTGTTTTGCGTCTGAAATCAAGTGTTTAGAATGGAGACCTCAGAAGGAAGGCTTTGACCGAGCCACGTGATGTATAAAGCTTCCAGAGAGCAGAGGAGCTCCCCTGCAGTTTTCTGATGGCAGCAGCCTTGTGTATGAAAACTCTTCATTTGCCAGCAATCGTGAGGGTTCCTTTCACCTCAGGCGCTCCTTCCACTGTTCCTCATGTGCATGTTCTCCATTTTCTGTAATAACTACAGATCCTCTCGCATGTCAAGTTTGTTTTGAGCAAATGCATAACTCCAGCTTTAGCACATGTCTGACATCAGGCTGGCCCATGCCTTGCCTTGGGTGTGTGATGCCTTTGTTTTCTCAGCCCGGTGTCACAGTAGGATGAACTGAAAGCCATAAAAACAAGGATAATGCGATGCTAAGGAAGGCAGGTGTGGGGAAAGCATAAACAAGACGTGAGTCCACCTTAAGCAGTTTTTTTTTTTTTTTTTTTTTTTTTTTTTTTTTTAACGAATTCAATACTCTCATTGAATTAATTATACAGAACTTGGAAATTAAAACCAAGACAGACTCAGCAGAGTGTTTCATACACAAGAGAGTGTGAGCTGGAGAGCAAAATGCGGTGATTAAACATTGTGGGCTGTTTTCATAGCGCGGGAGAAGCGTGGAGAATCACAGAACCGACACCAGCTCCTGGGAGAAGCACAGAGTGTGGAAGAGATGAGGGGACAGGGACAAACCTCGGGAGGGCATCTCAGGGCGCCTAACAGGCGGGAAGACGCCATCCCGCCGCTCTGCGGCACTGCGCTCGTCCCTGAGCTCAGGTCACCGCCGCCCGCCCTGAGCAGAGCGCCGAGGTGCCGGCAGGCGGCGGCCGCGGCTCCGTCAGCGCGGCCGCTACGGGGCGCTCCGGCACGGAGGCGCTGATCCGGGCGGGAAGGCGGCGGACGGCAGGGGGCGCTGTGCGGAGAGGAGGCGGAGGCTGTATCCTCAGCCGGGGGCGGGGACGCGGGCCGCGGCAGCATGGCGCTGCCGGTGCTGTCGAGCTCCGGGGTGAGGTTCAGGCGGGTCCTGGCGCATTTCCCTCAGGAGCTCAGCCTGGCGTTCGCCTACGGCTCCGGCGTCTTCCGGCAGGAGGGGGCCTCGGCCGGGCACAGCGAGGTGAGAGCGGCGGGTGGCTGGGCGGGCGCAGGCCGCTGTGGGCGCGGGCCGTGTTACTGCGGGAGTGGAGGCGGCCGGCCGTGCTGAGCCTGCCCGGAGCGCGGTGCTGAGCCTGCCCGGAGCGCCGTGTGTGCGGCTGAAGCACGGAAGCAGCGAAAACGAGCCCTTGCTGGTAGCGATCCGAGGAATTGAAGGGCTCTGAGGATTTCATGCTCTCACAAAAAACAAGTGGAAGTAAGGCAGTTCACTACTTAGTAGTGACTGCTTAGCTAAGGTGCAGCCCAGAGTGTAAGCACACAGCCTTTAAACTGTGCCCCACTCAAGGCGTGTATGTGTTCTATTTTTTATTCACGTGTACAATAATTAGCTGATATCTATATATTATGCATGTGTTAGATTAATGTGATCAACATGAATTGCTTACTGACATTGGCAAACTGGTCCTTTTCTCTGTATCCACAGAACAATATGCTGGACTTCGTGTTTGCGGTTGATGATGCTGTGACCTGGCACATGATGAACCTGTTAAAGAACAGGAGTCATTATTCTTTCTTAAAAGTCTTTGGGCCAAAGCAGATAAGTAACATACAGAGCTATGGAGCAGGGATTTACTACAATACTTTAGTGCCGTGCAATGGCAGGGTGAGTATGACTTTAGGAAGGCTAAATATTAGTGTGTGAAGTGTTGAGGTGATTAGCTTAAAGCACA